ATTCAACTGAAGATGACAGAAGTTCTGTCGAAACATGTCTTTTAAACTTAAAAAATTGGTCGTTTTCCTTAAAATCTTTACATGTCTGCTGCTATCTAGGCCTTTTGGAAACTAATTACAACTAATCAAAAAGCCAATGAAATAAAAACTTCATCTACTGCCTAATTTAAATTTGCAAGGTAATCATTCCCTCCTTCCTCCCTCCTTTCATTCATTTACTCACTTAACACTTAATGTACAGACAATCACCACGCAAGTCTAAATATTAACCTCTTGAGAATTCACTTCTCTCATGAAATAAGCTTTCCAAAGACAATTACTTAGTGTAACAAAATGCAGTACAGCTCAGAGATAAAGATTACCTCTCAGACTCCAACTGCTCTACACTACTGATGAACTGAGGAGGAAATTCATATTCATTTTCAGTCGGCCCACTATCTGGTTCATCAAGATCATCATCTTCATCATCTAGAATAAAAACATTCTTTTGTTATTCAACTTTGAATTTTACGGCAAATCTTGTTGCTGATCTATGACACATTTCCCTGGTGTGTTCCTAAGGGAATGTTTATGTGAACTGCCAGTGCTATACTGAATTGGCAATTAACATGAATTGAACACTGTTGTTCACTGTTGGCTTGAAGTGAAAATGTGACTTTCAGTTCACATCGATGCTTAAAAGCTCTGACTGAGCCAAAAATACAAGTGGTAAGGTAAGTAGGGCACATGTTGCCTCGTGGAACATGTACATGGCATGGCTTATTACAGGCTCTTTAGGAGTCCATGTTAATTATTATTTTGCTAGCTATTACATTGTATGGTGCACCCACCTTTAAGTTACAACTGATAGCACTTAGTTATATGTTACAGCAAACAGATCTTACCAGTGTCATCATCAGTAACATCCTTGTCCTGCTCTAACACTGCAGGTTGTTTCAGCTCACAAGGCAAACCCTGGTGACCTTGACTGTAAAACGTCACCAGGTGTTCCAACTTGCTGAAACCTTGAGCTGCCACTCCAGGAACTGCCTTAAGTTTCATGTAAAAATTAGGCATATAAGCAATTAGGGAAATTCAGACAGTTGTACTCCATGTGAAAAATGACCTACCTGGCCGAAATGGGGAAAGAGTAACCTAACCTGAACAGTTCTTCCACTGGCTCATGTAAAATGTTTTTGTTGGTCAACAAGCAGTTGAGCCCTGGGTGCTATTGACATTAGCCATAACCCAAAATAAAAACATATCAGTTTGGCCAGTTGTCTCATGTTGTGCACTGCATTTTTGATGGTGTGTTTAAACTTAGGTGTAACAGACTGTTTAAATTATAATCTTTTATAGAGAAAGGCCATGGCACCGTTAACAGACTCAATGTAAAAACCAAAACTTCAAGTTGCCTCAATGGTCAGTGTATTGTACTCTATCTAGATTGTGATCTAAGAAGAAATTTTGGGGAGCCAGGCCTCTGAACCTTTGAAGTCCATGGTGCCCAGCAATTCAATTTTGTACAAAAACTACGATTTCCTAGTTGCCCAAAGGTAAATGTAAGAGGGATCACCAACCATTACTAGAGAACAGCCCTGTTTATATAGGTTTAAAGGCTAATCAATGCCCTAACATGTGTTACTTAGCAATGTCTCCTCCCATATAACAGGAGCATTGCAATGTACAAACAAATAAAAATTAACGTGAAAAGCAAACATTTCAGAGTCATCATGACACCATTTCAAGCACTGTATTGTCCCGACAGACCTTGATAAACAGTTTTCTGTCCTGACGAAGTGCCACAATAAGTTTGATTGTTTAGTACATGAAATGTTACTAATATTATTAGAGACTTGTCTTGAACTATCTCTCAATGTTCAACCAGACTCAATCCAAGCAAAACTATTTGCATGACATGGTATATATAATTTAATTAATTATTTAATATGTTAATCTTTTTCTGACAGTATATTTCTTATCTTTTTGAACTTGAAAATGGTGTCATGATGACTGACATGATGAATGTTGTTTGCTACATGTATTATCATTAATTTTTACTTGCTTGTGCATTATAATTGAAGGGGTGAGTGCAAAACCATGCTAAGTGACGATTTGGGTGAAAAAAAAAATTTTCTCGAAAGGGCTTGAATTTTTGCATGTGGTTTTCAATGTAATAGAAAAACGTGGTCCTGTATTTTTGTTGCTGGTTTTTGCTTCATTTATTAAGACGCCGCTTGGAAAACCGAGTGGTTTTTCTGCATACGCAATATCTCGAAAACGAAACAAAGCTTA